TGAACAGCGCCTTGACATAAGGACAAAAAACAGCCAGAACGGATTAATCGGTTTTCAATGCATTCCTATGGGGAATGCTGCTTTGACTTACGGACATTTTGACTTGCAGCCACCATTCCAATACGGATTAAGTTTGTAAGTCAAGGCACCACTGTATTTCATTTTGCTCGGGTAGCTATATTTAGGGAACTGATCTAATGTTACAGGAATTAGGGCACAATCCTAGCTGGCTAGGCTGTCTTTAGGATGGTGGAGCCAAATCTAGGCCTGTGAGGCTACATTGTATCCAAACCTCTCCCATCTCAGGAAGGGAAGGGATGTTAGCTGATTTAAGAGGAAAATAGCACAAAAGAGAGAGAGAGAGAAACCACAAGCCAGGCATAATCTCCATGGAAACTATCCAGATTGCGACCAATCAGCAGCTGACACCCAGCACAGCCCCAAACTCCACCCAGCAAAACAGCCAGCCAATGAGAGAGAGAAAGCCTGCCATCTAGTGCAGCAGGTAAGTACAGCTACACAATTAAGAGGGAAAGGGCAGTTAAAGATACCGTGTGATAATTCCCCCAAATGCAAGCTTCTCATGCAGCTGGCATGAAACCCACTGCAGCAGCAGTTTGTGCTCTCTCTCTCTGTCTCTCTCTCTCTCTCTCTCTCTCACACACACACACACACACACACACACACACACACACACACAAGAGAGAGAGAGAGAGAGAGAGAGAGAGAGAGAGAGAGAGAGAGAGAGAGAGAGAGTCTGAGAGAACCACAGTTGTCAGGCAAAGAAGAATTCTATTTATTGATCTGCAGTGTACAAGAAATGGAGAAAAGGATAAACAGGTCAGGGTGCCAAAAGCAGTACCCCAGGGAAACCCACCCATTCCTAGATCCTTACACGGACACATCCCATTCATAAACCATGGAAAGGAGGTAAGGAGGGCACCATTCCAGCCAGGAGCCACGCAACCACCACCACCACTACCACCAGCAGCAGCTCCTCATGGAAGGGAAGCAGGTGCACAATCTAGCCTAACACAATATCCCTCTTCCCAGAGCCCCACACTGGCAGCTGGCAGCCAGTGACTCCTTCACCTCCGTCTACACCCCATGGGTGCTGCTGCTGTAGAACCAGGATCTACTACAAATGCCATGCCAGCTGTGCACAGAGCATCATGAAGGAGCTGGGCCATCTGTGCATAACCTGATGCCATCTTATCCCTTGTATCTCTTTCCACACACAGGAGCAGATTCATACACTCGTGTAGTTTCTTAAAGCCCCCTACCACCACCAGTAATGTGTAGCCATAGCGTTCTGCCTCCTCCAGACCCCTTCCACTTGCCCATGTCCCACCTGGTCCCAAAGGGAAGCCACGCACTGGAGCAACAGCTGTGCAGGCTGCCAACCACAGTCTCAGGGGTGTGGAGCACCACACCATGCTCACCCTGTCCCCTTTCCCCCTGCTGCCTCTATCTATGCTGCTGTAATGAGACGTTGTTCCCTTGGATGGCTGACTTGGAGGCCATTCCACCTCTCCCCAATACTCCTCTTCCTCTTCCATCTCAACTTGCTTTCCTTCAGCCCCCTCCTCAGAGAATCCGCAGCTCTCACTAGTTGGATAGTGATATAGCACCACTGCAGCTCAGACTAACACTCTCAGGATTAAATCCCTGAGGGGGTAGTTGTGCTTGTGGAATACTCCAAGGGAGAACTATTTCTGGCTGCAGATTATTTGCATTGGAGACAAAAGGGGCTCAGCCAGCCCCTCAGGTAAGAAGTCCACATTGAGGGGTGTCTCACCAGGAGCAGACAGGCCAAATTGATATGGGTGTCTGACATAATTCCCAATGCAGGCCGCATCTCCTCTGTGGGGAGCCCCCAGTGCTTCCATAGTGGCAGAAGGCCTTTCCACCTGGAGGAAAAGGCAAGCAATGCCAGTCCTCCCCTGTTATAGGAGAGAGGATGCTGCCAACCTTGGCAGCCCCCATCATGGAGTAGATCCATACCCACCATCAGCAGTGATGTGGACGTCAAGCGTTGGTGCTTCCTGGGAGGCTGCAAGCTGTGCTGGGCATGGCTGCTGAAGTGCAACGAATCTCCCAGGTGTCCCTTGGGCTGGTCCACCGACATTCTCACTGGGAGGGCAGCCATGGGGTGCCTGCTGCAAATTTTCTACTTCTCTATCTGCTGCTCTTTGAGGTGACTCAGGAAGAGCCTCAGACCGCTCCCCACTAGCATCCCTTGCCAGCTGGTCTGGAAGAGAAGTACATATACAAATAGAAACAATGGGCACATCACAGGAAGAGGTGTTCCTCCTCTCCCCACCCAAACAGATACAGTGGTGCCCCGCTTGATGATTACCTCGTTAGACAAGGAAATCACTTAATATTGAGTATTTTGCGATTGCTATAGCGATTGCAAAACGATGTTTTAATAGGAAAAAAATCACTTGACAATGATTGGTTCCCTGCCTCGGGAACTGATTTTTCGCTTTACGACAATCAAAACAGCTGATCGTCGGGTTTCAAAATGGCCGCCTGCTGTTTCAAAATGGCTCCCTGATGTATTTAGGAAGGCTTTTTCGCTTTACAGGCACCGGAAAATGGCCACCGTATGGAGGATTTTCACTGGACGCTGAGGTATTTCGCCCATTGGAACGCATTCAGTGCATTTCAATGGTTTTTCAGTGCAGGTCAGTGCATTTCAATGGTTTTTTTACTTTTGCTTGACGACAATTTCATTCTACAGTGATTTTGCTGGAACGGATTATCCTCGTCAAGCGAGGCACTACTGTACTTATAACCAAGCAAATCCAGGCCTGTGCCACACACAGCCGCCGGTGGAATGATCTTCCCCAGAACATGTTCTTCTGGAAGCAATGCCTTCAGAATGGCCTCCTTTGGGTCCATGCAAGAACACTGTGTTTTCTGGCTCACTTTAGTAGTTTGAAGTACGCTTTGTTCTATCCCTAGCATGCAGCAGTCCCTGAACGAGGGGGCAACCCAAGCCCGGTGATGTTTTGGACACCTTCTCCAAACCATCTTATCTTCCTTTCACCTGCTATTGGCCTAGCCTGGCCATTAGGAGCAATTTCATGGTCCTCTGCAATCAGTTCATACAGCTTTGCTAGTTCTCCTGTGCCCACCAGTCGGGCTCCCTCGTTTTGGAGGCCTTGGCCTGTTCAGCTGTGGCATTCTCACAGCCAGCCACTCTGAGTCCAAAAAGCACAAATGTGGAAAAGGAGCAAGGCTGCTGCGGGCAGGTGGCTTAGGATATTTCACTCACAGCATCTAGAAACTCACTGGAAGCATCTTCCCCATTTGGCAGCTCCCCATCACACTCCATGTGTCATCTGCAAGTCTGATAAGTATTCCCTGCATTCCCTCATTCAAGTCATTAATAAAAATGTTGAAGACCAATTGGGCCCAGGACTGAGTCTTGTGGTAACCCCACTTGTTACCTCCTCCAGTTTGAGAAGGAGCTACAGTATTGATAAGCACTATCTGAGTATGATTCTGTAGCTAACTGTGTATCCATCTGATGGCTGTTCTGTCATGCCACACCTAGTTAGCTTGCTAATGAGAATATCTCTGAGGTCTGTGAGGATGAATCTGTTCTGTCAGTCTAAACAGAATTTACCAATAATCCCCTATCTTAACTTGAAGACCTTTTGGCCAAATACATAGAAATGAGATAACATTTAATGATGTGCCATCCATTCAAATCTATTTTGGTGACCCTTTCCATGGTTTCCTAGGTGTAAATAACCAGAAGGGCCTTATGTTTCTTTTTCTGGGAGAGGGATGCTCTGGGATGGCGCAGCTTGACCAAAACTACACAAGCTAACTCTGGGCACAGTTGGGAATCAAAGGGCTAACCTCCAGCGCCCTAGTGAGATACCAAATTGATGGCACTATCCAATTTGCAGAAACAAGATAACAAATGCTTCTTTAGATACCCCTGAATCAAGCTTGACTCTGACCCCATCTCTCATATAGCCAAAGGCATATACAGAATAAGATACCTGTTTTGTAGGAGAGCATCACTATCAGAAGACCAGTTAAGATCCAAGCTTCAAGAGGTGAATGCTAAATACTTTCTATTCAGACAAATGAAACCTTTGTGCATTCACCACCAATGTCTGGTGGATTGGCAACACCATGGGGGCTACCAAAAGGGCATGACTCTGAACTGTACACTTTTGTAATGGAGAAGACATGTACCAGATTGTTTGGCTATAAAACTGCATTGGGGCAAGACCTCATGCTTTGGTTTCAGAAGTGTGATGCAAATATATTTCCAGTTTTCGATTCAGATGTTTCTGTGCAGCTTTATAAGTGCCCTTTGAAAGTGATGTGAGATGATATTTGCTCAGATATCCTAGGTATGACATTGCAGAGGCAGAGGATAGATTATTGCAGAGTTATCTTATACCAGTGGCATTGAGGCCTGCAGGATTAGATTGTACAGCACTGGAAAGATATGAAGGACCTGATCTGTTAAACAAATTTAGATATCAAAGTGAAACCAGCAAGGTACTGACATAGCACATGTAAATTCAGTCATTTCTCTACAGCGTTGAAGATGCATGAAATCAATGATGCAAAACAAAAATTTTCAAAATCTTGTAACAGAGTCTTTCTGAACTTTGCATTCGCAGTGGTCTGAGCATGAAGAAAAAGCAAGTTGTTAAGGTTAAATCAGTTAAATCTGCACAGTTGTGCGTATTTTTTGTCCACAAAAACCCAGCAAAATATGCGACTAGTATAGAACAGGTACAGTAGTTATTTAGGATGAGAGCATCCATTAAAAGAAGTGGCAACCTGGTGGAAGGTCTCAGTAACAGAATCCTGTCTGGATTTGCATTCCTCTTTGTATCATGAAAAGCCTCAAGCCGTGGAGTTTTCTCCGTTAGAAACCAGACAGAAGCCAGGAAGCTTGCGAGCAGATCCTTCCTCTCAGCCTTTTCTCCCAGCAAGTGACGATAACAATTACCAAAATAATGCCTCTGCTGGAGATCTTTCTTTGGGCCATTCTAGTAACCGTATCCATTGTGGGCCTTTTAGGAAATGGATTTATTACAGCTGTGAATGGGCACCGATGGCTCCGAAAGAGGAAGATGTTGCCTTGTGATCTCCTTCTGACTAGTCTGGGCATCTCCCGATTTCTGTTACAGGTGATTTCTTTAGTAGGTTGTGTTTTGTATTACATCTCTTCAGAGATCTCTCTCGGTCCTTATGCAGGGGTGGTTATCCACTTTTCCTGGATCTTTCTCAACATGACCAGCCTCTGGTGTGCCACATGGCTCAGTGTTTTCTATTGCCTGAAGGTCACCAGCTTTGCCAATCCTCTTTTCATCTGGCTGAAGCTAAGGGTGAATACTCTCATGCCCAGGCTGCTTGGAATGTCAATTACTCTTTTCACCATCTTATTGCTGCCTCCATTTGTTGATTACTCTAGAAAGCTGTGCAACTACACAGGAACTCTGCCAGCAAATGCCAACCACAGTGAAATTTGCAAAACATTATTTGCTTCATTCGATATTCTGCAATTAATTATCACTTCCATAAACTTCAGCATAAATGTAAGTGCATCCATTCTTTTGCTTTTATCCCTGTGGAAACACGTGAGAAAACTAAAAAAAAGTAGTGCTGGTGTTAAGGACCTCAGTACTCAGGTCCATATCAATGTCATGAAGCCTTTGCTGTTCTCTCTCTCCCTCTACGTGTTTCATTTCCGTGGTATGATACTTTACAGAATGGGCATTTTTGATTTAGACAAAAATGAATCACTGTTTCCTGAGCTGTTGTTGAGTTTTTTCCCTTCAGCTCACTCCATTATATTAATAGTGACCAATCCAAAACTGAAAGTTTCTGTCTGCACGTTAAGGAAGAAAAGGACATCTTAGAGAGAAGAGAGTAGGAGATGTAAAATCCTTGTGTCCAACGGAAATTCTCACTCGCTCACACTTTCCATGCATACATATCTCTCTCTATGTCTACCTGGCTAATAAATATCCTAAATAGATCAACCACTTAACCATCACCAAGTCATGCGGACAGGAACTTCCTGCAGGATGTTCAGGAAAAACAACTCCGGACATAGATGAATGGACTTACTAACATCTACATCTCTACTTTGAGCAAGGATTAACTCCAAAAGGGAAAAGTATAGTGATGTCTCCTCACCCCCATCTTGTCAAGCAGACCAAAGAGCTGACAACCACTCAAGGCCAATGTAGGTGCTTACACAGTTCCCCAAATAGCAACAGTTGAGCTCCTATTTCTCCTGCTCTTCACTTGCTAAATATTTTAATATCTACATTTTTACATCTTGGATTTTTGAATGTTCATTGGTTCTATTGCTTTTAAAATGTTGTAATGCCACCCACAGTAGACTGTTTGTCTTGATGGGCGGGGTGTAAATCTAATAAAATACTGTAAATAAATGAAATAAATAAAGCTGATCAGGACAGCAACCTTTTTTTAAAATTAAGAGATGTGTCAAGAGGTATGAAAGAGGGGCCAAGCTACGTTTAAGTCTGAGATGGCAGAGTTAAAACCCTTAGTTATTCAAATCACAGTTGGAATGGAACCAACAAAGTCATGGTTCTCAGTTGTTGAAGATGGATCTGGGGTTTCTTGCCCATTCAAGAGAAAGAGAAGGGCACCCCTCTAGGTGAAGACGACAGATTCGGAGTCGTGAGAACGGTGGGCCAGCCCGCAACTAGCTGGTGTGAAAGAATGGGCAAGGGACAGAAACATTACTGCTTTTCTAAAGGGCTTCTGAGTGAGGCCCTAAACTTTCCTGAAGGTTACCCAGTGGAGACACAGAAGATCCACAGAGCGCTTGGAGCCATGCTGTCTGAAAAAGCACCCCCAAAAGCTATGCTGTGCCATGCGTTCTACTTTGTAGTTGAAGAGGATCTACTGTGGAGGGGGCAATGGCTGAATTTTGGTTGAGTGGTATTGTATATGTTTGCAACGATAGCATTTTTCATGTTCTTTGCTTATTTGTCAGGAATGTCTCTTCTCTCCACAAAATATCTCTATAAAAACAGGATACTTCCCTATTCAGGAGGGTTGAACAGAAAAGAAATGCAAGCACATGAGCTGTGTGTAGAATAGTAAGGTGTTTTGTTTTCTTTTGTTTTCATCTTGTTTGGCATGAATATTACATATGCAGTTGTCAAAACTATTTCATCATTGTTTATATTTCTGTTTTAAGTTGTTCGCATTTGGATCCCTATGTTGTGATTGTGTTTTATGGTACTTGTTAAGAGTCGTTTTACATTCTGTTAAATGGACTTGGGAAGTATCGGGATAAATGTTCTGTAATTTCCCAGTGGTCACAGTGGTTGCTGATAAATAGACTATGTAACTTGGAAAGGTTGTAAAAGAAGAGGCTGAGAAAAAGGTGGGTACATGAGGTACCCTTGTGCATAGAAAAATGTAGTTTGTGGGAGTAATCCTTGTGCATAGAAATCTGAATGCCACTGTTCTGAATTCATAGCTGGCATATATGGGCAGGTATGTCACATTAGAGTTACATATTTGACTCCAGCTTCTTGATGCCTCTGATTTCTTTTGTGTCCTACATCGGAGATAGGCATGAAGGAGGCACTATGTAGCCAATGGGCTGTATGCTGCCCCAAAGTCATTTTTGCCTCCATTAAACCTCCTGAAAAGGTAATATAGAAAAAATTGCCACCAAAAATCAGATAGAAAATCCACCAATGAAAACATCAGTGGCATGGCGTCATATTTGTAGGTCCATTACATGTTTTCTTGTTTAAAATATGATGGCAAAAATCCTCTCACATAGTTATGCTAGTGTAAGATTAGGAACAAAAGTGGCTGAAATCCGGTAATATTTCTGAGCCCCCACCCCATCCCTCACCCACCCCACACACGTTTGCTGAAGGTCCTGAGGCTCCTGTGGAATACTTTTCATCATCAGGAAGCTCTTGGGGGCCATGAGATAAGGAGACGTCTTCCAGTACCCGTCGCTGTTGCTATTAGTCTTACAAAGTTTAATGTATGGAGCAGGATGTTAGTCAATATCTACAGCAGTTTCTTCACTTAAGGCAGTTTGTTTTCAAAAGGTTGCTGTTATACCAGCATAACTGTAGAAGAGGATTTTTGTAAAAGGTATACTGTTGTGTGGTGTTTGTTTTTGTTTCTTCAACTGTGTAGAAACACTATGAATTGCCTTTCTTAATTAGTGAATAGGGTGTTGGATTAGGGACTCAAGAGACTTGCATTCAAATCACCATTCAGGTATGGAAATTCACTGGGGGATGGCAATAATAAAATAAATATCTTATTCACCTTGAAAACCATAATAGGGTTATTATACTTTGAAATCAAATTGGCAAGATTTGACAATTAAAGGTCCCAGTTAGAGATGGGCATAAATAAAAAAAAATGGCAATTCATCACGATTCATAATTTATTAAGAAATCACAAATTTATGAATTTTTCTGACAAACCGAAGAATCAATTTGTCAACTTATCTTGACTTTAAAACCCTGTAAAATGTACTCCCAGGTATCTAGAGACACCAAAATCGCAGAGGCACTTCCTCTGACTCTCCTACAAGTTTACTTACATATCTGAATTTTGGCCTTCAGATGTAAATACCCACAAAGAACTCCCTCACAGGAAAGTTCCCCCCAAGCACCTAGAGATACCAAAATTGCAGAGAGATCCCCACCAACTCTCCTCTACAATCCTTCCAAGTTTGGTAAAGATTGGATTTTAGACATCAAGGTTATACACCCACAAAGTGAGTCCTTCCAGGATAATGCTCGTCAGCAGCTGACTTGTACATAGCAGTGCTAGAATCTTCCTCAAGCCAGCTGCTAAAGGGCATTTTCCTGGGCGGGCGGGAGGGACCTACTTTGTGGGTGTATAACTTAAATGTCTAAAACTCAGTCTTCACCAAACTTGGAGGAATTGTAGAAGAGAGTTGGGAGAAGCTTCCCTGTGATTTTGGTGTCACTGGATCCCGAGGGGGAGGGCATTTTATAGCCCAACAAATCAATGAATTGAACATCATTAAAAATTCATCAGTTCATAGAACTGATGAATTTTTATTGTATTTGTCGGGGCATGTCTTCAGATGAATATGAATAGACAAATTAGCAATTTTTGACAAATTTTAAAAATTCATTTTGTAATTCATGCCCATCTCTAGTTTCAGGAGTTAGGCGGTGTTTGTATTTCAGGAAATCATGGAGTTAGGATTCTCTGATACTATTGCTGCTAATAGCATTAGATAATCCTTGCAAATACTTTGGAAAAGGACACTGAAAATCAACAGTTGGGATATGTGAATAGATTTTATTTGTTCTAGCAAAAATCATTTAGCAATCATGTTTTATGAAATGTTAAATGATGAAATGGAAATAATTTGATTGAGAGGAAATATATATACAATAGTTAACACAGGAAAGATAAATGTATATTAATTTCATTATTATCCATTTACCTCATTTCTTGCTAAGATAAAATGAAATGCAATAAAAATGAAACATATGTGTGATGAATTGTTGACTTTGTTGACTTTGTTGAGGTGCACATTACTATCCCCATCTATCCCTGGCTTCTATCTCGAAGATCCATTCTTCACAAGGTCAACGCAAAGTTTTCTCAGCATCTGCATCCCATATGACTGTGGTGGTTCTTCTTCTTTTTTAATGGCAGTGTCATATTTATGTACATAAGACCCAAGTTTAGTCATGCTCTAGGTCAGGACAAAACAATTTCTTTCTTCTATAGCATCATTATGCCAATATTTAATTCCATGATAAACAGCCTGAAGAACAATGACTTGAAAGATGTCTGTGATGATTCTCAGTCATCCAGGTGAGGTAATCTAGAAGCTGAGTCATGGCAACTGGACTTCTTTCTTATTAAGTTGAAACGTTTTGCTACTGATCCAAGTAGCAAAATTTTCAGTGAAGAAGCTACTTGAACGAGTAGCAAAACATTTCAACCTAATAAGAAAGAAGTCCAGTTGCCATGACTCAACTTCCAGAATGACTTGAAAGGGGCCTTGATCAACGTCCTATGAAGATATAGGCATTCTTGACCCACTTCTGACAGGAATCCTTCAAGGTTTCAGGCAAGAATCCTGCTTTTTATCATCTCCCCACATGTTTCTCTTCCTGGAGATCTTACAGGTTAATTCCTGGATGCCATTCTGCCACATTGGTGCAGTGACAGCTGCTGACCAGATCGAACTACAGGATTAGCAACAGGAGCTGACAGGATGAGTGGTTCTCCCGTTCAAAAAGTAGTAGTCTTTTTAAAATTAGAATAAATTGGATTCTAGGGATGTCCATATTTATTTTTACTCCACCTCATAGAATTCTCCAAAACTTTAGGCAGAATCTAAATGGGAGGGGTACAAATCTAAATGGGCAGCGTACACATTCAATAAATAAATGATAAATAAATAAATCCGTCTCAAACCTTGTCCCAGTCTTTGCTACCTATTCTCCAAAGGAAGCTGCCACAGTTCTTCCTGGAGTAGCAGTTCTTTGGGAGGAGCTCTCTAGAGAGCACAAAGGGCAGGGAGACTACCACTCCCACAATGTACTGCAAGTGACGCCAAAGGGTTTAGAGATTATAACTCAGCCCTATGAGAATGTTTGTGGAGGGGGGGAGAAGCAGGGGGAATTGATGCTTGTATCACGAATAAAAGCTGTCCTGAGTCAAGAAGCTGAGCTGGAGCCTATGGAGCTATTGCCAGGGAACCTTGGCCCCAATGGAACCACACGAGGGGAGCCCCGTGGAGCGCAGACCCTTCCAGTGAGAACATCTGTATTGCACAATATAGCCCAGGATAGTGATATTCGCATGAGGAGAGGAATCATGGAAGAATGTCCAAAACATCATCAGGAAGCACATTCCATTACCCTCTACAGGCAGGAAACTAAACTTCTGCAAGACAGCCTAGGCCAGGAATTTTCAAGTAGGACAGCATGCCCAAATGCACCTGTTGCAATGCAGTAGAGGGGACAGTCGCAAACAGTTGTTTTATTATTGTCTGTAGTTTGCTAAGAAGTTATGGAACGTGGGATTGGTGCTTCTACCACTTCCAGGATGACTTTATTTGATTCCTTTGAGAAAAACAGGCAAGAAGGAGGCAGCAGAGACCACTGACAGTAGTAAGATCCAGTAAGATCCAGAGAGCTCTTCTGAGCCATAGGGCAGTGGTTCCCACACTTTCTTTTGACTCACGTCTCCCTTTACTTACTGGCCACTGACTGTGGCTCCGCTTTACAGTAACACTGCTGTATCCACGGGATCAGTACCTGTGATTTCACTTGGGGGGGGGGATAAGGGAAGTCCATGGGATCAGTACCTGTGATTTCACTTTGGGGGGAGGGGATAAAGAAAAAAAAAAAGCACAAGAATACACTTTCCCAGGTTGCATTACCAGGACTGGCCACTAAATGGAACCAGAGACTATGGTGTACAGATAGCTTAAGGCAGTGGTCCCCAACCTTGGGCCTCCAGATGTTCTTGGACTACCCACTAAATGGAACCAGAGACTATGGTGTATACAGATAGCTTAAGGGAAATGCCCTCGTGGTTTGATTCCTGGAAAAATGGAGAATTTTTTTTTTGCGGGCACCAGAGAAACTGCAAGTAAGTGCTTTATGATACTTAGGTTGTGGAGGAGAGAAGGGAAGGGGAAGGTTGAGGCTATTCCGTGATATTCCTGGGTGGATTTCCCGGCACCATTCATGGTGCCACAGTGCACAGTTTGGGAAACACTGCTCCTAGGGCATGTCCAGACTGGCATATGACTTACTATTTGGACTGCTTTCAGTGCTGTTTGGTTCAAATCAAATTGCGGTGTCCACATATAATTTGACTTAGAATGATCCACCCTCCCCCTTTTAGAGCTGTTCTGCTCCTTTTTGGTGCAGCACTTCGGGCTACAGAGGTGCCTTTGTGTGTGTGTGTTTGTGTGTGTGCGCGCGTGCGTGTGCACTATTTAAAGCACTCCTGATTATCCCATTCTGTAGCCCATGTAGTTGGTCAGTTTGCTCCTAAATAGAGCTATGGGTGGTACTATAAGACAAACCCTGCAATGTATTTGTGGCATTGAAAGGGGACACTGGAGAACTCCTCTATTGTACTGTTTTAATTTTTTTTAACATATTTTCTTCGAAATGCATGAGGTACCTTGGCAGTCTCTTCAGCACCGAATCATTGAGAGAAGAAGATATGAAAGAGTTCACAGGGGTGCTCCTTATTTGTATCCTGATGCATTCCTGCTTTTGATTGGTATGCACATGCTGTTTGTGATGCTGTTTGAATTTTATCCTGCAATGCATGTTTTCCCTGGAATGATTTCAAATGAGCAGTAATTTCCCAGGTATGCATCGCCACAAGGTGGCGCATGGAAAAATATGTCTGAACCTTTGCTTTGATGTTATTCTCCAAATTAACACTAGGTGGAGGTGGAGGTGCTTTATTTGCCCACCTATGTCCACCATGTGACAGCTACTCGTGTTTGATTTCCTCCAGAAAATACGATTCTTTGCTAATTCCTTTTGCTCAGGAACATTTTAGTAGGATTCTTTGATGCAATGTGCTTCAGAACTACTGCTACTTTCATGTGGGATGATATGACTGCACATTATTCTGCGATGAAACTTGGAGGATAATTAACACTGAGAATGTAAGAAATGTGTACTTTTGGTGGCTAAGAAAAGGTGCAAAATGATATTGCATAATTTTATTTTAAGTTGCCTGGAGTTCCAATTTGTGGATAATATGGAGAATCCAATATCAGCAGAAAAGGAAGAACAGAGATTTTTAGGTAAACTGCTTTGTTTAAGGGTGGGTTCAGTTCCTCATTGATTTGGATTAGTTTTGGGGTCAGGAAACTTTTTTACATTTTACCCACTAAAAATGTATATACGCTGACATTACCCCCTTGATTTGAAAGGAAGGTTCTCGGTCATACGTGGCCAGTCGAGCGCCGCCACTGAAGCCTCGCTGCCTGGGCCTCCTCCTCCTCCTCTGCTGCTTGGTGGGGCCATGCTCAGTCCTTGGCCCTGCAGGGGCAGCTCCCTTTCTCCGCAAGTAGGCGGCTCCTGGGCAGCTGTCGAAGAGCAGCAGGTGGTTTGCCCTCCAGGGGGCATCCGCCACCACCTCCTGCTCCAGTACCGGCTCTGGCGGCTGTTTGCTGGGGCGGCCACAGGCCTCACTGACAAAGTGCCACAATAGCTGCCGCACGGAAGGCAAGACACTCCTCCAGGCCTGGCTGGCCAGTGTGGAGGCACCGCCGAAGGAAGCTGCGCAGCTGGGCGAGTGCTGCTGCCACCCGACAAGCTCCTCCGGGGACAGGGTGTGGGGCAGAAGCCCAGTGCCAGGAGATTGCCCCTGGCCTGGGCCACCATCATGGCCACACCCTTCCCCCTCCGCCATGATCCACCTCTCCAGGCACTGGAAGGAGATGCTCCTCCTGGCTGGGGCGCTCCAGCAACACACCCCACCCTTGCCCTCCATCATGGCTGGCCCCGCTGCTGCCTTGGCTGCCGTACGTCACCAGCCGGGACCTGTTGCCGGCCATCATCCGCTGTGGTTCGGTTGCAGCTGGGCCGGAGAAGGGGGTGGGAAAGGGGATGATTGGGCTTCCGGTAATGCCCCCTCTGGGCAGAATTGGTGGAGGAGGAGGAGGGAAGGGGGTTAGGGTCGCGTCCTCATTACCCCCAGGATTTTCATTTTTACTCCATTTGGGGTAATTTACCCCTGTTCCCTGACCACTGGATTAGTTGAACAGATCCATTTGACATGACTGAAATCTTGAATCAATCTTTTCCTTTTACCTTTCATTATTATTTTTCCTCAC